GTAGATTTTTCAGTTTGTTTGGTTTTAAACTTGCTGTTAGGGTGGGACTGCAACTTCTAAGCTACTTACACACAGGACTAGAAACCAGAAATCATTGTGACCCTGTTTAGGGAACTCAGACTTGAGAAGCCACCATCAGAATCATTACAAGGTGAACAGAGCCAAAGAGCCAGCAGGTGCAGCATTTCCAGGTGCTACTGGTAGAAATTTCATTGTCTCTTTTCTCGGAAAAGTCTCATGGGCTTTCTTCATCTATGTGGAAACATCAGTGACTCACTGCTCAGATGTTTTAAGGTCTGAGAAACAGACACATAGGATTTCTCAAAAAAGCAGCATGCCTCATTATAGCAATCATATTGTTGTTAATTTTATCATTAGCTTTCTGGGTGTGGTGGCACACACCTGAAATCCCAGTGACTCTGGAGGCTAAAGCAGGAGGAAAATACAAGTTCCAGGCCTTGGGGAATGTCTTGAAAAATAAAATTTCAAGAACGATAAGTGACATCCAGTCAGAGATACTCACATGCAGACAACATGACTTGACTTACATATGGAAAAAATTTCAAGACTCTACTAAATAATTGTTAGAATTGGAAAATAAGTTCAATCAAGATGCAGGATACAAAATCAACATACCAAAAAAAAAGTAGCATTTTTATACACCAATAGTTGAATCCCATTCACCATAGACCTGTCGACCCTGAGAAAAACCACTTTGAGATCACATCCACCACGATACTGCCTTAACTCAGTGTTGTCACCTAGGAGCATTTTCACATAGGTGGACATTTGGCAATGTCTCGTAATATTTTGGGGTATTACAATTGGGAAGGGAGACTGGTATCTAGTGAGTAGAGGCCAGGAATACTGTTACATATCCTACAAAGCACAGAACAGCTCCCCCACATGAAGATTTATCCTATCAAAATAGCAATAGTGCTGAGGCTGAAAAACCCTGGATTAGACTTGCAAGTAGAGATGTTGAAAAGGCAGAAGGACTTCAAAGGAGAAGTCTAGACAGGAGATAAGTATTTGGTAATCACCAAAATAGATGGTGTTCATAGCCTTAAGATTGGACAAGATCAGCACCCCAGGGGACAATGCAGATGGAGAAGAGGTCTGAAAGCCTGAGGGCACTCCCAGGTCAACAGTTTTAGGGGAGAAATAGCAAAGACAGCAAAGGCCAAAAAGTCAAGATCAAGGAGATGTTAGAGGTTTGAAAAGACACAGGCCACCCAGGAAAGTGGGAAAGTTAACAAACTAAGAAAGTCCTTTCAGTACCCAATGGAGGTGAAGGGTTTAAGATGAAACTAGGCATTTAGCCACAGAAATTCAGATGTAATGTGTGCAATGAAATTTAACCAGGGTGCGGCTTTGCCAAATGAGGGAGAGAGGAATAGTCAGGGCCAAGGGAACTACAGTGCATTGTCAATTAAATATCATGGGAAGCAACTATGATGATTAATTAGGAAATTCAAGCTTTGTCAGGAAGAGAGAACATCAGGGTTTGCGGGGAAGTGAAAAGATAGGAAAATCAATGGGCTATACGTAGGGGAATGAAGAAATTGTTGGGGTTAGTATACTAGGTTAGCACCAGAGAACTGCCTTCATGTAACTGAGATTATGGAGGAGTGAAATTACAGCTCTTACAAAAAATCTAAGGGGCTTGGATTGTGGCTCAGTGGTAGAGTGCTTGCTTAGCATGTAGGAGGCACTGGGTTCAATTCTCACATATAAATAAATAAAGGCACCACATATAAATAAATAAAGGTCCATCAACAACTAATTAAAAAATTTTTTTAAATCTAAGAAGTAGCTGGGCACGGTAGTGCAAGCCTGTAATCCCAGTGGTGTGGGAGGCTGAGGCAGGAGGACCGCTAATTCAAAGCCAGCCTCAGCGATAGCAAGGCGCTAAGCAACTCAGTGAGACCCTGTCTCTAAATAAAATACAAAATCAGGCTGGAGATGTGGCTCAGTGGTTGAGTGTCCCTGAATTCAATCCCCAGTACCCAAAAAGGAAAAAAAATATATATATAAGAAGTAAGCGGCAGAGGTGGAGGAGAGGTCAAGAAACCAGGTTGTTGGAAGGTCATCCACTTGTGTATTGAAATCATGACAGGAGTAGGGAAAGGTGTGGCCATGAGGTAAGGGAGCTAAAATCATCAAAAAGCAAAGGGATTAGGTAACTCTGAGGCCAGTGGATAATTGTGACATCAAGAAAAAGGAAGCCACATACTGTGTATATTCTCTACAATGAAAACATATTATTTCTCTAACATAAAAAAAAGAAGCTATTGTAAATATTGTGAGACCACCTAAATCCTCTTTGGAAAGGGCCAGATATAGATGAGCATATGCATGCACACACAAACATACTCACACACATACACACACACACACGTACGTGCGCTCACACACTCACACTTAATAAGACTCCTTGAGGGGCTGGGGCTGTAGCTCAGTGGTAGAGCACCCGTGTCACACTTGTGAGGCACTGGGTTCAATCCTCAGCACCACATAAAAATAAATAAAGATATTGTGTCCAACTACAACTAAAAATATATATATTTAATAAAAATAAATTAAATAAAGGTATTGTGTCCAACTACACCTAAAAAATAAATATTAAAAAAAAAAGACTTGATAGAGATTGTCTAGTTGAGTTACATACTTCAGAACAAAGGTACAAAAATAGTGAAAAAAAAAAACCCACACCTTTCTTTTCATGTGTATGGGGCAAGCAGGAAAGAACTCAGGGCCTGGAGCATGCTAGGCAAGCACTCTACCAGCCCTTTTTACAAAACAAAGTCTTGCTAAGTGACCCAGGCTGAACTTGTGATCTTCCTGCCTCAGTCTCTCAGAGAACTGGAATTACAGGCATGCACCACTGAGCCAGGAAAAACTTTCTTAGGAATAAAATGTAGCCTTGATGAGGAATAAAGTGAATATTTCTATTAAAAAGGATAGAACGTGAGAATGTTGTCCTATCTTGGTAACAACACTAATGTCTACAATATCTACCCGAAATCCAAATTATTCTGAATTCTGCTATTAAAACACCAGACTTTTTACTTTTATAGGTGGGTATACAAAGTTATATATAAATATCACTCCCTTTGTGAATATATTCTCAAATACCTTTGAAATAGAAAATTAGGAGAAACATCGAATATTTCTAGTTCTTGGAGCTTAATCTTTTGTGAGAAGTAGAGAAGAAAGACAAGAGAAAAAAAACCAGAAGAAGTGTTTTCAGAAAGTTTGTTCATCCTTCTAGGTAAGCTGAATTCATTTGGTCTTATAAGTTTTACCTAATATCAAACTTCTCTGTTTTCTCCTTTCCACAGTGGGCCTTTGAGCCAATGCTTAGAGACCCATAGGAGCAAGAAAAGATGGAACAGAAAGGAGAGAAATGGCAGGAGAGAGAACAATAGGATGCCTTTGTGTTTGGAGTACTCAGAGCATGGTCACATGTGGCTTGGTTACCTGATAACAAGTCATAAAAGTCCAAAGATAACTTAGTGTTTATGTTTATCCACTGGAGCAAATAGAATAAGATTTACCCAATGAACATTTATCATTCTGTTCTGTTTTATGGCATAATTCATACAGCGGTAAGAAGGGTCTACATGTTGGACACATGTGCTCATCCTGCTGAAAATTCTAGTCCACTTGGCAATCACACTTCCTTGTTTTTAAGTCAGACATTTGCTGCCGTGGACGACTTCTTAGGTTATGATAATAATATTCTAATAAAGTGAAGATTGATACTATTAGTGTCTCCTTTCCAGTCAGTGGACATTAGGGCACAGAGAACTGAGACAAGTGCCCAGAGTCCAAGTCACAGCTGTGTCCCTGGAACAGGGCCTGCTGCTGCCACTTGGATGCCTTCAACAAGGTGAGGCTCCCCACTGCAGGGGCCTCCTTGGGATTCCACCTGTCAAAACCTTGCCCCTCATTCAAGGTGTGGGACAGGTGGTAGATTGGAAAGAAGACTGAATCTGGGTTAAAAAGTCCTCAGTGAGTGGTCCTTACCTCTTATTTATCAAATTATGTGTCTTAGAACAAGTTACTAAAAGTCTCTATTTGCACAGCTTTGTTGCAAGTAGAGGAGATGATATCTGTTCAAGCTACTTCAGAAGATGAAGAAGCAACTAAGAGAATATGCATGGAAGGGTCAAGGTCCAACTAAATCCTACTTAATCCAGGGAGCTTTCCAGCCTTTCAGTCCAGCCTACCTTGAGCTTTCCCTTGACATTTCTTGCAGCACTATTCATCTCAGCACTTGATATATTTTGTCTTATATTGTTACTTAAATATTTCTAATTCAGGAACTTGTTCCCCCCAAGGTCATATTTCAAGGCTGTAAGTAAAGCAGTGCTTATATTATCAATACTATGAATGAACGGGTGGAGCTGAGTAGAATCTGACCTTTCTGTAACCACAGGCTCATTCCTACATGAAAAACATTTATTTATTTATCTATCTATCTATCTATCTATTTATTTATTTATTTATTGGTGCTGGGATTGAACCCAGGACCTCATGTATGTTCTACCACTGAGCTATACCTCAGCCAAGAAAATATTTTAAAATCTTCTTGCAGTAGACAGTTCTATGCATGTTCTAATAGGAATACTCACACAGATCCAGGGTTTTCTCTTTAAACGAAGAGGGTTCACCATATCAACTGCTTGAAGAAGCCAGAACATGGCTCAAACATAGATAAGATCTCAGAGGGGAACCCTGATAAGAGTGACCCCAGAGGGGAAAATTTCCCCCCAAAGTTCTATCCTTAGGTTTAGAATACCTCATGAGGAAAAAATCTTTCTGGATTCATTTGCAAGCCAGGCAGTTCTGGCTGTCTCACTATAAGAAGTGAGACAACCTAGAGGTTTGCCATTTTTCCCTTGTGTGTGGAGTGGGGTACATAATACAGAATCTCTTCCTCTGGAGCTTTTAGAAGCTTTCCCACAAAACCCAATCTGCTAGTAGAACTTTACCTTATCTTTGTAAACTAGTGTGCTGGGGCTGGGCCGGGGCTTGTCTTTGAAGGAGTAACTGGCCGATTGCTTCTTTAACAGGTCCAGGAAGTCAGGAGGCATGTACAGTGGAAGATCATTTAAGACTGGATTGTTTCTTTGCACAAGAGGTGGCTTTTTCCTTCCTTCATTTTTAAAATTGTAGGTTGCTGCCACTGGATTTAATAGGGATTCTTCAATAAAAGTTTTCAAGTGATAAGTGCCAGGTATAGGAGTATTCTGTGGAAAATTGACAGCAGTTTTAAGATCACTGTAAACCTTTAACTTTCCCCAAAGCACCATTCCTAGAAGAGTCATTCCTAAGTAGCATTCTACTTTATTTTTAAATTTAATGAAATTCTATCACATATAATACTCTTTTTTTTTTTCTTTTTTTGGTATTGGGATTGAACTCAGGGGCACTCAACCACTGAGCCACATCCTCAGGCCTATTTTGTATTTTATTTAGAGACAGGGTCTCACTGAGTTGCTTAGTGCCTTGCCATTGCTGAGGCTGCCTTTGAACTCACAATCCTCCTGTCTCAGTCTCCCAAGCCATTGGGATTACAGGCGTGGGCCACTGTGCCGGTACATATAACACCCTTGACAGAACACTATTTCAAGAGAATCGTGATTATTTATTTCCGAAACAAATCCTGAATTAACACAAATGGGTAATAGTTAAAATTTAACTTTTTAAAAAGGTAACTTCAGGCATATACTTATATTTGCCAATTGAATTTTGAGTATATATTTCAGGCCTCTAGTGAGATTACTCAACAGAGCTTCTTGGTCAACTAAAAGCTATCCTACTTTTGCTTGGTATATACTATGTTTCAACTAGCCTCAGGTGGGAAGCTACCACATAATAACATGAGCCTGAGGATGAACTGGCAGAGCATATGGTCTACTTAGTTCCAAAAGAGGTTTGGTACCTTCAAATCACAACCACAGTGTGGCTCAGTGGCCAGATTGGAACTGCTGTTCTGCAGCCACTTTTTCCAATGAGCTGAGCCATTAAAATTAGATCAATTCCAAGAAGGCTTTGACCCATGGAGCTTCATTACAAATGACCTTCATTACAAGTGATCTTCTGGTCATTTTTCTTTCATATATTACCATCTTGTTCTTAAACATTTTGTATACACTGGTCATGTTAAGTGTTATCATAGGTTCTGTACCATCTATGAGAAAATCTGAAGCCAAGTCACCTTTCTGGAATAGATGCTTTTTCTTTCTTGTCCAGTGTCACCAAGATCATAAGATCAAAAGTTCACTTTATTTAGATATTTTGTAAAGCACATGGATTCCTAGAGTTGTTTTACTTCATAAGTTTCCATTACATTCAAAATTTAAAGTGAATTTCTCATTTGTATGCTAATATTAAAATTATAAGCATGAAATGAGGCCCATGTAGACCTACATGATCACTGTTTTTTTTTTTTTTATAATTAAGTGTTACTGATTTAAAGGGTAAGAATGATTAAAATTTTAATGGGAACAAAAATAATTTGAAGAGGAAAGACCAAAAATATACACACTGTTAATGCTATTCTCCACCAGCTTTCTCTTTGAAAAGAGGAACTCTTCTGGCTTGGTTTCTATTAACAAATACAAAATATGCTTATTCATTTGAGAGGTAATTCCCCTGAAATTAAATTTATAAAACATTACTTGAAGAAATTAATACCTGCATCAAACTGTCATTAAAATAAAAGCTAGAGAATGATAAATTTTGCCCATGACATTTCCTTAAATTGCTCTTTTATGATTTTAAATGCTTTTAAATATCTAAATTCCTTTTGATAAAATTAGAGTAATAAATATTCTCAACTCACTGAGGTGCTGGAAGGATATTAGATGTAACAAAATTTGATGTTCTTTTGAGGAATAGGGTGGGGCTTGAACTGCGGCTCCCTCATGTAACAGCTAAGTACACTGGGCAAGTTACTCAATCCTCGTGTGCACTGCTTTCTCACTTTCTCACTTGAGTATAAAACTGAGATACTACTGAGATAGCATGAGAATATGGTATAGTACACATAAAGACTTGCACCTACAACCAGTGTTCAATAAATGATAGCTTTCATTTTCAGAGGGTGGGTACTGGGGATTAAACTCGGGGCACTCAACCACTGAGCCACATCCCCAGCCCTATTTTGTGTTTTATTTAGAGACAGGTCTCACTGAGTTGCTTAGCACTTTGCTGTTACTGAGGCTGGCTTTGAACTTGATCCTCCTGCCTCAGCCTCCTGAGAAGCTGGGATTACAGGTGTGTGCCACTGCACCTAGATAGCTTTCAGTTTTAACACTTCCTCTGCCAAACTAGGAAGCAGGTTATTTTGGTATCCTCAATTTTCAAAAAAGTGTCTTCCATAGTTAAGTGCTCTTATTATTACTCCACATTTGTTTTAGCCTCACTGCCCACAATTGTTTAGTTTTACTCTTTTGTATTATTTCTAGTAGGTAAAAATAGTTAAAATATTGAGTTGTACTCCCTACCCCCCAGTACTGGGGATTGAACTCTGGGGCTCTCTACTATATCCCCATCACTTTTTAATTTTTTTTTTTATTTTGATAGGGGGTCTTGCTAAGTTGCCCAGGCAGGTCTTAAACTCCTGATCCTTCTGCCTTAGCCTCTGAGTACTTGGGATTATAGGCATGTGCCACCACATCCAGCTCATTTCATTTTATAATATATTTATTATTACTATGAAATATGGGTTATCTCAAGCAAGAATGCATTAAAAATAATTTAATCAGGGGCTGGAGATGTGGCTCAAGTGGTAGCAGCGCTCACCTGGCATGTGTGAGGCACTGGGTTCGATTCTCAGCACCACATTAAAATAAAGATTTTTTTTTAAAAAATAATGTAATCAGTAAAAAGAACCTGACATAATTCTTTTTGTCTTATAACTGAAATCCACTCTACTTATGAATATCACAGGGCTTTAGTTTTACTATGAAATATGTGCATTTCTCTAAAAACAAACAAAAGTAAAACAAACAAAAAACACAGTTTCATACACAATATGAAGCCTGAACTTCTTTTTAAACATTCCTTTGTTAAATATGTGTGTTGAATCTCCTGTAGCACATTTAATAGTTACAGAAGGAAAACTTTCTCAGGAAGATCAAGGCAGGTCTCCCATCTCCACCCAAAAGCAGAGAAATGAAGTAGAAAGATTAGAGAGGTAAGCATGATAAATCCAAAGGAAGCTAACAGAAGCTGATGTTTTGTTTGGCCCCAGGCAGGTAATCTAAATTCCACCCATCTACTGTTTTAAATTCACGTCAAAGGGAAAATATAAAACTCCCCTCACTCAAATTTATTTAAAAACTAAACAAAGGCAATTTCAAACATTTTTGTAGGTACTAAAGTAAGAGACAGGGGGAAAAGTGATGGACTAAGGAAGGAAATTTTTCCATTCTCTCAATCCCCAGCACCACCACAGGGACGGGCGGGGCAGGGAATGGAGTCTCTGAAAAGGGGAAGAAATCTAATCACTCTACTGATACATTTTCCCAGAGCAATTAGTAATGGGCAATGAGGGAAATGTGGAAAACAAAGGATAAAGGGGAAAATAAGAGAGGCAGTAAGGGAAAAGGAAATACGAAGTAAAGATCAAATAATGACAGGAAGACAGGACTGCAGTGTAGGCGTGAAGGCAGGAAGAGAACCACAGGGAGAGGGAGCGCCTAGGGGCGCAAGAGCCTGGAGTAGAGAGACTGGGAAAAGGACAGGGGTCCAGAGAGGGGTACGGTGGCGGGGCGGCCAGAGGAGTACCTGCCGCAGTCTGGCTGGGCACAAATCACGAGCCACTGAAGCAGGAACAAACTTTATTTTTAAACTGCAGGAAAACACTTCACACAGCTCCCGGGGAATCCTCCCGAACGCGCCAGGAGGCTTGTCCAGGAACCCCCAGCCGGAAATATCTCTCCCGGAAATCCCTCCTCCTGCACTTCCCCAACCAATGGGAACTCTCGGGGAATCCCCGGAAATCCCCATGAGAACTCCAAAATAGTGCGAGAACTCAAAAGTTGCGGCAGAGGCGGATAGTAATGCCTCGCCTGTCAATCAATACTGTTGGCAAAATGCCAGGGGCCATACAGACTCGGCCGTGGCTCTCAGCATCTCCCCCTTTTTGTTTAATTAAACAACAAGCAATGTGGCTTAGGGACCGTGCCTGTTAGGCAGTCCAATTCAACATATGGTCCTTACCCGTCATCGGATGAACTGACCTCTAGGCGTCAGCCTCCTGTCTTAGGTTGGTACCACTGCAATTGGATCATACCCGTCACTGACTACCGGTCCAGCATACAGCCATACTTGTGGATAGGCCTTTGCACCAGTGGGGGGTGAGGTTCTTTGCCTCACCTCTGTTGGCCCCCAAATTTTAGACCAGCACTAGTAGAAGGGAGGAGGATGCAAAATGCCATGACACTAAGCCAATTGAGGGCTCCTTTGAAAAATTGTACCACCGGTGACACCATCAGCAAAAATACTCCAGCACTACCACAATTCGCTGTACCAACAGATAGTTCACAATACATACAAATGATACATAGTCCAGGCAGGGTCTGCAAGCAATTCAAAGCAGAGGAATCTGTCAATATGTCCATTTCCTCCCAAAGTAAATCAACTCCTTAATTGAGCATTACTTGTTGAGTTATTATTCATTGATGCATCAGTTTTTACAGTTTGTTGTGATAACTATCGAAGAAGCTGTAGTTTGGTTTTATCTTTGTCTTCACCGGCACTGGGATGAAGATAGGAATTCTGGCAATGATGCTAAGAAAAAAATTATGTAACATTCCAACAGGCACTAAGAAAACAATTTTTTGAACAATTTACATTATCCTGAACAGAATTATTAAATATAATGAGAAGGAAAGGTGAAAGTAAACAAACAGATCTGTTAACCTCCTTATTTGTTCACATATTAAAACAATTTTCAACAGCTGTTTACCCAATCTAAATTAAACCATTAAAATCACATGAATAAAAAAAATTTGGATCCATTTATTCATGAGCGCTCCTCATATATGATATATGGACATACACACATACAGACATACAACACAAAACAGAAGTGTGCACACATAACATACAACACATAAGACAATAGTAAAGGCCTTGTAGCTTTACCTAGGTGAAATCTCCATTGCAATGCTTAAAAACTCCACAGTCAAAAAATAAAACTGATCAGAAAAACATTATCCTAGGTCTGTATGAGCTC